CTTGGGTTTTATGTAACTCATACATCATACTACGTTCTACAACCTCCCAATATGAGTTGGTAATTTAGTTATTTTTTACAACCCATACAATAACTAAATGTTTAATATTTAACTTGTTAATTCTTTCTTTTTTTTTTTTTTTTTTTAGTCTTGAACTAAACACTACGCTGACAACAAAATGTCTTAAAGGCAAAAAAAAAGATAAAAAATGATTAACTGTAGCACTTTGTGTTAATGCTGATGGGACAGATAAAATTAAACTGTTTGTAATTGGAAAGTCCCCAACCCACGCTGTTTCAAATGTGTCAAGCATAACAAACTTGGTATTACATATGCTAGTAGTGCTAAAGCATGGATGAATACTATATTATTTCAATAATAGCTTAAAGACTTCGATTTGAAGATGGCTAATCACAAGATAATTCTCCTAATAGATGGAGCAAAATGTTATTCTGTTAGTAATTTAAACCTTAAAAACATAACTGTTCACCACTTTTCACCAAACACAACATCTCATTTCCAACCTCTAGATGCTGGTATCATTATGTCTTTTAAGCATTGTTATAAAAATTATTTTATAAAATGGTTGTTGGATCAATACGAAGCTGAAAATGATGATAAAATGATGTTCTTACTGCCATTAAGTTCATAGTCAAAGCATAGAGAGAAGTGTCATCTAAAACGGTGTTTAATTGCTTTCGACATACTGGTAAAATTGTGTTAAAAAAATTATAATTTTAAAATATATGTAATTTTATATAAGTTTTGATAAAATAAATTTCATGTAATTTTTTCGTTAAATTATATACAGGTTACTCTCGTTAATATCAACCTATTCAGATTAGACAATTATATTAATGTATACAAGTATTGATAACAACAGGATAATTTTTATATTGTCTAAGCCTATTTTTCCTTAATAAAAGGTTGATATTAATGAGGTTGATATTAATAGAAGTAACCTGTATAAAGTCTTGCTTTAGAAAAGTTTAGCCAGTATAAATTATATAAAAACTAATTTATCAAACCTTATTGTAAAGTTACAATATAATATACTAAATTCTAGTAATTTTACAACACTACATACAGGAATTCTTCTGGTTGATCTGGAGGATGATGAAGTGCTTGATGTTGATGAAAATGATGTCAAATTAATAGAAAAATTACATGAAAATATTGAAGTACTCCAATTTCGAAACATAATAGATCTTGAAGAATATATTGACTACTCAAAAGAAAAGGAGGTATATGAGGTATTAAGTGATTAGAAAATTGTGAATTTAGTTACTAACCCAGAACCTGAGGAGGATAAAAGTAATGAAGATGATGATAGCACAGAAATGTACCAAGTTACTCATAA